CCACTGTTGGGCTCCATGCCCGCTAGTTCAGCTTTTACACATTTTCCGATCCACCCTGGTTTCGTGTAAGAGTGAAATTTATCGCAACGACACGCCCAGAAGACGTTTGTCTGCGGTTGAATTAATCCAGTGACTTTGGCCAAATGTCGCACCTTCTGTCGAGATTATTGTGCTGTGAACATCTGCCGCGCTCATTCGTCGGTCATATGCTTCCGAATTTGGTTGGTTTACCTGTTGTTTCATGTCCATATATCTCTTCAGGGAAAAACTCGTCCCCAATATTTTCTTCCTGACTGTCATTTTGAAGTTTATAATGCTGAATAACGTGACCCGAGTTCAAAGGATGCCGAATTTCGTGCGCACAATTATTTGTTTCGCCGTGATATCATCCACCAGTGAAGTTATGTTGATTCTCTGATTACGCCGTCACTCTGGGCGACTGCAACCACTTTCTTTCTCTTGACAGTGAAAAACAAAAGCCACGCTTACCGGGAATTTTGGCTGAAATAAAACTATTTCTAAATTAAATACTAAGCAAGAAAAAATGGAATACTTCAATGGCGTGTTACCTGTCCATACTTGTCAAGTACCCCCTTGTAAGTTAAACCAACACAGCAAAGGCAATATGGATGAGAGTACGCATATCCAAGCGTCAAAGGCTGTATGGATAAAGCTAGTCAGTCCTTAGAGCACTTTTGTGGCTCAAGAAATGCTCCTGTCAGACGGTCATATGCCTGCACACAAAGCTTTTATCATATGCAATGGCTCGCAGCGTTTTACAAACGAAAAGCATTCTAACATTTCAGGGAACCAACTTATTGCTTTCCCTCCCATTTTCACAAACAAAAATCAGATGAAAATGGTAAAATGGAAGTATTTTCCAGTTCGAAGCACTTCATGAATCTGAAATTTCGTCCGCCAGAATACACAGTCGGATTACGCTTGTCAACCGTAAACGGAAAACCCCGCAGTTTCGAAGGTTCTTCTGTCGTTCGCTAGAGATCGGTCAAAGACAAAGTCCATGTGGAGCTGACTTTCACGATAAGAGAGTGTCTTACCAATCAGGATCAGGATGAGGAACGGGTACGTAAGAACTGAGCTTTGGCACCCAGATAGTTGTACACATGGATTTAACCATGAGTGCCGCGACATCATTCACCCTGTGGAGACCTGGTGACGTTGGCAAGTGAGTAAAACTTGCCCATTAAAACCGTGGCTTGAAATTCGAAAGTTCGAAACACATCACTAGTTTTGAAAAATTGACGAAAGCAGGAAGTGACAATTCGGTCCTAACATTCGCATGCTTTCGAGCATGTGAGGTTGTGTATGAGGATCTCTGTATAGTAGCTTCCCAACAAAACGTGGCGTCCAGCTAGTATGTTGTTTTTCAACTTCGCCACCGGTGAAATAATGATGTGAACGCTGGAATTTCTTCAAAACCCCAACACTCCCAAGTTTATCGACCTAGGTTATTTAGAGGACATCATCTTAACCTCCGAAGACGAACATAAAGTACCAGTAATGTTGAATAAATTAACCCCGCTAAAACATTTTCGGAATGCGCCTTACACCAAAAAATGTGAGTTCATTCTTCATGGAGGAGCACTGAATGTTGTGAGGAGTCCTCCATATATCGATATAGCGGTGGATACTACTGACGAAGCATGCGAGTGCAATGTGGTTTTCTCGTAAATCCGCTTCGCGTCTATTGAAAAGTAACATTTTTTACGGAATTTGTGGAAGCCCTTTGTAGCTTTCGTTTACATTTGAGTGATAGTCAGGGAGTATCCAGGAAAGTTCAGGAAGACGCGTTCGAGAAGAAGGCGGATATTCAGCTATTTTTATAAACAGGATGCATATGAGAGTTTTGCTTTCTTNCTCCAATAGTCTGTAACTGTTCAGTTGGTTGTCTCCATTAAAAATTTCTGCACTGAGGGCCTTTCATCGGTAGTTGCATTAGCTCTGACGGCAGTGTGCCCGATGAAGTTGGTGTACGAATCTCGAGACGAGAATCACGTTTGTCAGTCTAAATCACTTGTGGCGTCAAAAACGCATCATTTGGTTTCTAAGGTCCGGATACGAGGTTACGGCAAAGGCTGGAGGAAAGAATATCCAGGACGTCTCCAAGCTTTTGACCACCGATATGTCAGAAGAGCCACTGTTTTAAGATGCTGTCAATGAGTTCGTAAGAGAATAACCGGTTGTGTAAAAAACCCATCGGTTGCGGAAAACACCCATATGCGGAAACATCGGCGATCGAGACAAGTGTTGTTCACCATGCATTCTTCAAAGTGGTTGCGGAGCAGGCAACGTGTGACTTGGTACAAGGGTTTGAGACGGAATAAGTGGAATTTGGGTGATGTTGGAATGGTACACCCAGTGGCATGGAGTCCTCTTTGGCCTTTCTGCTTTTTTTTCTGGAAACACTGAAAGGGATGGCGGCTAATCGATGTCGATTTCCTTCCAGATTACCTGACTGAGCTTTTGGCGCACCCGAAACTGCTTGCAGCAAGCTAGTGACAAGTCTTCCAATCCACCGTTTTTGTGGATTCGGACTACTTTAAGTTCAACAGTGGATGGCTCGTAATTTTTACTGACGTTCATCTTTGATTGTTCACTCCTGTTTGTTTGTTTACTCATGGGTCATCTGCTGTCATCGCCCCCTTTGTTTATCTTTTCTTCGGGGTCAGGCGAATGTTTCCGCAAATGAGTTCCTTTCTCCTTTTCCGTGGATCAACCAACTGCTATTTCGTATGCTGGAAATAAGTAATACCTCATCATTTCACTTGTTAGGATTATCACGTATATATATTCCACTCACTCAAACCCCACCTCAGAATGCAATTGTGACTCGACTTTAGTGCTACAGTAAATATTTCTCCCACATGAAGGAAACTACTGATAAAGCTGCTGAAAATCCATTCAGCAGCCCCGCCCTACTTGGGTCTCATCAGACAAGCGAAGTCTCCAAGTTCCCATCAATCTTATGTTCCGCCTGGCCTCGAACTGCACCACTCTCGACAACTACACTCCTTTGCATAATTTGGTTTTCATAGAAGTCTCACCTGAATCCCAGATGAATCTCTGGTTTATGGTATTCTTCAGTTGCCCAAAATCCAGGTCTCGGTTGGAACGATATTCAATATTCATGGACGGAACTGCTCATTAGGCTTCGAGAAACTGTTCGGCGGTTTCCCCATCCTTAGGTTTAATCATCGGCAGCACGTTCGGTTGAAGAAGGTCACTCAAATTTCCAATTATACACAAGTCTATACTGGTCGAGATCATTCAGTGACGCCCAGGGAGCGGACACAGACTCTGCTCATTGGCTGGAGAGTTCGATTCTGAAAACACATTACAAGAAGTTCAATCTTTTGTAGGAAGACTTTGATGGAAGCCACGACAGCACATTTTCAAATTCTACTGGTAAGAAAGTGTTATTATACACAAGCGAGCCTGGTAGAATTGGTAACTACGTGTATCCGACGACAGACTGAACTGCTGTTGACGCATTCAAGCACATTTCGGCACAAAACTCAATGTCTCGTATAGGTTTATCACATCATACCAAATAACTATATGGAACCAAGACAGAACGTACCGGTTTGGGAACGGCAGCATTCTTGTCGCTATCGCAGATCCTCATGGTGACAAAACACGTGGTCCTGATCTAATTACCTTGTCATCGTTTGTGGTGGAGCTATTTGTTGAAAAGCGCATTGTCTCTTAAAACGAACTTTTAGCGTGTTGTCTAAATCGCTTGTGGCGCCAAAAAAGCATCGTTTGGTTTCTAAGGTCCGGATAGCAGGTTACGGCGCTGGGGAGAGGGACTAGCCAGGATGTCTCCAAGCCTTCGGATGAAATGTGGGAACCGAAGAATCAAAAGCATCGGACAAAGAGTTGTAACCGAACAAGCTGATATTCTAGTACTACTCATAAGGCCGATGAAAACTCCATTCGGCACCATAGAATTCGCCGTTTTCGTGGATTAGCAAGTCGGCCTAGTCCGCAAGTCTTATCCTTAGAAACATCATAAACGATGGATTTAGCTGGGTTCCAGGTCAGTCTCCCGCAAATTTGTTTGTAAATGAGTGTAGTTCGCTAATTCGGCCTTATTTTCTGCTTGAACATCAAAAAGTACGCCACTGTGGGAATATACTCATTTGCAAATTGATTGGATGGTCGTCGGCTTGTTCTCTGAGCTGGGCGATTTGTGACACCATCAGTGCGTTATTGGGGAGTGTAGTGGTGGGTTGGTGATTGTACTTTGAGTAGTGTTACGCGCGTGTTAATATACGTGCTGCTAGCCGGTGATGACCTTTGACCGCGATTAGTTGTTCGGTCGGTCAGTTCCATTGGTTCCTCTGTTATCCCGTGTTTGAATGTGATTGGATATCAACAGAACACAGCCGGATCCCAACCAAATCTCGTATTTATGATATTTTTCATTTATAACGATACACAAGATTGAATGTGATTGGTTGTCAACAGAACACAGCCGGACTCCAACCAAATCTCGTACTTATGATATTCTTCATTTATAACGATACACAAGATATCTAGGTGTAGTTCAGTAGGAAAAATTTGGCAGTGAATTGCGGAATGGCAGAATAGCCAAATAAGTACGCAAAACCAATGAATATAGGTTCCCCATCGAATCGGTCAAACGTGCACGCCACTGGACACCCGTACATAGCAGGAAGCGGAGCACAACACCCTGGTGGCCGTGTAAACACGAGGGGATAAGATCGCGAGTGAGGCCTGTCGCAAGCCATCAGGCGGCTCAAATATGATGGATAACCTAGTGGCATTCCATTCACCGTCATCTCTCCCTCTTCAACAAGTTTCGCCTACGCCAAATATCACTCGAAACAAGGGGGGCGGAACATGTTCACCGTGTCCAGAGCAGTTGGTTGTTGTCTCTTTAAGCCTACGCTAGAATGGCAAAATCTGGTTCACAATCGATGACACAATTGGACAGAAGACAGGTTTCAGCATCATGGCCTTCAATTGTCTATTTACAAATAAACAGTTCCTGAAACACACAAGGCAAAAAAGAATGCATGGCAATGCGGATGGACGATCTCAAACGACCGCCAGGAGTTTAAGGCAAAAATAATTGAATTTTCAATAAATCGACAAAACGTGGTCTGATGGAATAAAACTGGCTATACAAGGTGGACTATTCACCACAACACAATGTCACGCGGTCCGTACAACACAGCGTTTCGCGATAAAACCTCGATGAAAAAGGCAAGAAAATGCGGATGAATGTGGATAATGCCAAGATTTTTTTGGGAACCTAATTTAGAGGAACAACAGAACTTTCCGACAAAAACAATTCCACTGACTGGCGCTCAAAAAAGGTGGACAAATGTTGATTGGTTTACAGTTAAATGAAAGCAGAGCTTTAGGCATAAAGAATGGGGGGTTATCACACTTGACTACAAAGTCTCGGCTCTTGTGCCTCATCCGTAATCGTACCTCCGGGTAAGAGCATAGGGAATGGTTCTGTGCTAGATGATTGGAAGCTATTGTTTGCATCACCAATCATTTCTCCTGGACGAATAAATTGAGCTCCATGGTTCAGGGTACTACCAGCCAGATGTGACATGCCCATAGCTTGGTGAGATTCCATCGCAGTAGATACAGAAGTGGCTGATGGTCCCCCAGCAAACTTCTCGGTCAACCCGAGTACCGGTTGACGTTTCGCATAAAAGGAGTCATTCATACACCTGGGATTTGATTGGTTCGTTGGAACTTCAGTGGCTTCTGATCGATCCCCATTTGTCTGTCGATCCTTGCTCTGACTAGGATTTCGAATCAATACGCTTGAACGGAAAGTACTTGGGAAAGCGTTGTCATAAGTGCCGCTCCCGTCGGCTGATGTGGGCGACGGGACGACCGCACGGCCCGCCGACTTCTGTTCGCATTTGAAGTTATCAATACCACTGTCGTTGGAGGTGTTTTGAGATCCTGGCTCACTGGTGGAAGGTGATGTGCTTGCAATCATATCTACTTTGTCCTTGAAGGTGACTCGGGGTGCAAGTGAAGTGGACCCACTAATAGTTGAGTGGATCTGTTGTGACCTTGGGCTGGAAAGGCTTACTCTGGGTAGACCACCAGCTTCCGTTGCTGATAACACACGTGTTGAATCCTCATAAGGGGTGCTGGACTGGGGTATAATGGCGGCATTCGGACGACGATCTGACATGGCATCGGAGTATGTGTTTAGGCCGCTAAGAGGCAACTTAGGCATATTCATCATGTGATAAGGACCGAGCGGAGATCCATTCAGCCGTGCACCTGGAAGAAATAAAAAACGAAATGGCTGAAACAGAGCACAAGAACTTCGGTCTAGTCTAAATAATCTCAGTTTCAGAGTGTCCCGACTTAGAGCACTATCTTCTAAAATTTTCAGACTAATCTCCCTTTAGTTGCCACTGATAATGACTGATGCCATGCGTGGGTTCTCCAGATCGATATAAAAATAATAAATAACGCTTCAGCTGTAGAATCCTTTCGGTGCCTAGCTGCCACGCCACCCGAAGAAAGCTTCTATGAAACTGAAGGGTAATCAGGGAAGCCATGTGGTGATGGTATTACCAGGGACTTTCGTTATTTGCAACTGTGATTTCGTCCTGTCAGTAAACCCAATCTACGCTGAAAACCGAGAAGCATCCTTATTGGGAATCATTAGCGGTGCGCCTCTCACGAAACTCATAGAGTTTCAAACCCGCGAGCTTCCGTCCAGTGGTTGAACACAACCCAATGGACACGAGTGGCCACCAGGAGTGTGATTATCTCCTACTTAGTCAAAACACAGCGCCACTCATCTTTCAATCACAGAAACCTCGGGTGCGCACTTATTGGCTGGTTCCTCAGATTAGACATCTGGGATGGAATCTTCAGGACAAAATCTCAATTGAGACTCTTCCCTGACTGTTAGTTTCGGTCAAAAAGCTTTATATCTCCAAAGTTCATGATAGCCTTCCCATATTTCTACCTGAAACCAAAAGTATCCACACAGAGAGGGTCTTAGGTAGTGTCACTTTTTTACTGGCATGTAATCTGAGTTTTCGCAGCCAAGTTGGTCTAAGCAAAGTTCAGTTAATTCAGCAGGCAACTATCTCTTCATCACTTAGGTTCTACGGGGTGAACTTAATTTAATACGTACAAATCGGCTGATATTACTGAAGCCTTGTTAGTAGACCAACCTTATGAGTAGTGTGTTACGCCAGCCAACAAAATACGAGCCTTCTTTCAACCAGTCCGTGTTCACAAACCTGTTATCGGTAACCGTCCGGCTTGGACAATGTGACACGCTTTGAGAGCCCGAATAGACACTAGTGTCCGGCTGTCTGTAGGAAGCCCGAGCAATCTGTAGCGCAGTGACTCGGAGCAAAACAACGGGGTGTTGATAAACACAGGGTCAGTGACTTTCCCGGCTGAGATCCGTCATGTTGTAGCCTTGGTTTACCGCGCTGAAGATAGCTGACTTTGAAAATATCTGTAGTCAGATAGTCCGGAATACAATAGTTACCAGAGCTAGCAAGATACAATATCCGTTGCCATGTGGACGATCCATGTGTAAACTAGTCTGTTTATTAGACGACAGTTAAAAGGCGATAATTTGCCTTATAGACTACGAGTTATCGCCGCAGCTGGTCCTATCCAGGCGTAGAGATGCTCGACAGCCAGGCAAATCAACCTAAACAGTTTAGCAGGTAACGCGCCAAAATTTTCTGCTTCATACATTGGCTTACCATATAGCGGCAGAACAGGCTGGAGCTTGGGCGAACATGCCTCGAGACGTGCTTCGCTGCTTTAGTTAGGTGACCGATAATGCAACGGAAAGAAGGCATATGCAGTTTTGGAAGTTCATCTAGTCGACTGCAAACCGTTTAGTTGCAAAACGGTTGGTTGGCCCAAGAACATGGTTTAGAATTTTACACCAACCATCGGGGCCTTATGAGGTCATTATGATCTTGACATGCACCAATAGCTTACCTGATTGCTTCCATCCACCATTTTAGTTTTGCCTTTTTATGCTGTACATTCATTGTCCCTAGTACGTGGATGAGGATATCAGAAACTAAATCGTTGAGGAGATTTGGGGATAAGTGGCTCACAGGAAGAACAAAATTCACGAGGTTAGTGAAACCACCATCACGGAGCCATTGAGCACGTGCCTCCACTCGGCCAGCTGTAACATCATTTCTGTGGTTAGCTGCCACACCACCCGAAGGAAGCACGAGGGCTGAGACACTGCCAAAGTATCCAAGCAAAATTACCCTAGACAGGAGCAGTGGGAACGCAGTAGTTGCGTTTGAAACGCAAATCTTAACCGCTGAGCGTTGTACGTCTCTACTACTCAACATTTCATGGACCAGGAATATTCACAAGTATTCGAATATTGGTAGCCCGGGTGCACTGACTGGTAATCGATCATGTGGTTGTTGATCTGTTCGCTGATCTTGACAACTGACTTGCAGGCATTTCGTCATCATTTGAGGAGATACCTTCGGTGGGCTGATCAATTACCAATTTACAAGTGTATGCTCGTTAGTTGCTGCCCCCCCCCGCGACTAGTTGGTTACATTTCTCTGGACACGAGCAGCCCTCAGGCTTCAAATGCCCGATTGCTAGGCAGCCGATACATATCAAACTACTTTGGGTTACGTTTTAGTGGCAAAATAAAACACGGATATAGACGTTGTATGTCACCTACTGTTTAACTGAACGGTATTCGTTGAGCTTCCGTCCTCTTCGTCAGCTCCCATCGGCCCGACAGATGGGGGTGATGATAACAGGTTCATTGTCCCGGAGGAATGGATGCGATTCACCAGTGGCACATCGGTGAGTCTGGCAACCGCAGCGGTAGACGTAATTGGTGGTGGAGGTGCAGGCGGCGGTTGAGGCGATGGGGTTGCTGGCTGTAACAGACGTGTGACCAGGATACCATTCTCAGGTGGCACCAAAACACCATGGGCAACTCCACCACCTCCAAGGGCGGTTTGAAGACAAACGTAGTTGTTGCCACCTGGGAGAGAAGAATAGTGTATGCAAAATTGACTCTATCGAACAGCAGTGACATGAGCTGAAGCAGTAAAGAATTTTCCTGGTGTGGTTATTCGTGAGCACTTCGTTTTCATTTCACAATGCCGACGAGGTCGCTCAACGACATGCTTATTCTTGTACAGCAGCCAACTCAATGTTTTCGCACATCTACAAACTGGGCACTTGTGACTTCTGTTGTAGCCTCGTTGAGGAATTCGGTTATCAATTTGGCTGAGGCACATTACCTACTGAGTACTATTCCTGATATCGCAGACAATGCAGGCATGCTGTCGATAAGCTCTCCCTGGTTGATTCGCTATGCAAATGCGCAGGGAGTATCCGTCTGGTTGCAAGCGCAGCGGTTTGTACGATCTGTGTACAACACTCGGTTTTAAAAAATCAGAGGTATTCATCGTATGATGGATACTCTATCAGACCCAAATGAACACAGAATATCGGAAAGACCCAGAATTACTTAGGAACAATGAACTGTGGGCGCGAATTCAATCGTTCTGCCCTCAGAACGACGCAATGTTGAAGTAGGCATATCTCTTCGAAACTCAATCTTTGAGTGGAGCAGGCCTTGTCTGGCTTGATTTGATCTCATTTGTTACCTACGAAGCGTTTTGAGAGAGGTGTCGCGTCTGCATGGCTGCATCGCTCACTATTAAAGTAGTCTAGATTCATTTGTGATGCACTACTCATAAGGTTGCTGAAACTTCGTCGACAACCCACGACCGGTTTCGTTCGCCTTGGGGCTCATCAGGTAGGCGCAGTCCTCGAGTTTCTGTCAACCTTATGATTTAACTGGACCCAAATTGCTGTGTTTTCGAGAAATACACTCATTTGAAAATAAATTTGGTTTTCACGGGAGACTCAATTGAATCTCGCGTTTATG